TTCTTAAATAAAAACTTTCTGATTTTATTAGAAATAAAAGAAATATGTGGAGCCCAATTAAGCTTATCATCTACTATTATACCGAGATATCTAATTTTGTCAGCTTTACTTAGAATGGGGCACTCACATGTTGTATGGTTGTTATAGTTTCTATTACAAGGATGCGTGTGAATTATTATTTTTAATTCGTTTCGTGGATTGCTAGCAGCGATTGCAGCATCTGAGTAATACTGCATATTCTGCTGGCATGTTGTTTTCCTCTAGTTTCCTAGTTACAATTGAGATGCAGTCTTCAACAGGTAAGCATGTACATAGAGACTAAACATCAAAACTGACCATTGTTTCATTGTCAGTAAGACATGGGTCTTTTATCTTACTAACAAAATGGTATGAATCCTTAGTATGTGCTTTTAGCGTCTACTCCTTTCTATAATACAATAAAGGTAAAAAAAACAAGCACATAGTCCACCTTATATCTAGTAAATGAATGTTTTGGTCCATAAACAACTATCCTCGATTATGAATCAAAATGTTATAAAGCTATATTTAACGCTGGTATTATGTGAGAGCATGGTCCTTCTCTGGTCGATCGGAAACCCAGTCGTGGTTTAACTGCAGCTTGGCCTACAACGTATTACAAATACATATTTATGTACTCAGTAGTAACAAACAGTATGATTTACTTATTTGAGTAATTTTACTTTTTTGTCCCATTCGCTGCCTTCCTAAGAAATTACAACATTACCCCCATGCCACCTTATACTGGTATTAAGCCCACTCATCGGCGGGCCCGGCATCTCAATGTAGTATCTTGGTCCGTCCATCGGCGGTTTTGGCATGAGGCCATAGATTTCGACGTGAGATATTTTTAATGTCTAATTTATATGTCCTGTGCATTGGTTAGAGCGTGTTTGCGTATATTTTTGTGTTATTTGTGGAAAACAAATGTGCCATTTACATTTGTTATTGTTGGTGTTATTATTAAAGGTGTATGAAGGTAAGGCAAAACTTTCAGCTAATTCAATTAAGACAAAGCAAATGTATTTTAGCCTTTGTATAAGATAGATTTAAGCACGATCTTTGTACAAGAAAATCTAAAATGAAACATAAAAGCATACATTTTAGGGTTTTTTTTTCAAGTCATGCGTAGTCAACCTTTTTGTATGTTTAATTTTTTTCCCACGTCTTACCTCTTTTGCATTAATTCCTACCTGTGAACGAATATTCGTTCACAGGTAGGAATTATAGGCAGAGGAAAGAGTCTCAAGTCGATGCACTAAGTCCAACAACAAACGAACTTCCAGAACAGCAAAACTCAAGTTGTGAAAACGACGAACGTCAAGATGCGAGTGAAAGCTTTTTTCTGTAGACTATCTTTTTTTCTATAATATGCTATTTACTTACGTTAAATCATAAATCATGTAAGTTGTAAAATTATTGGTGTCTATAACAAAAGGCATCGGCACTTCTTTTGTTTACAAAGTGACTATTACCGACCTACTCCCTGTGTTCAGATCACCAACTGCATTCTTATCTTGTTTCCTATTTACCGATAGTTTATGATCTTATCTGTATTAAAACACAATCCGAAATAGGTGATTAGCCAAAATCAAATCATAAATCATACCGAAAAATTGTATATGGTCGGTGAGCAAAACAAAGGTGTCGGCACTTTGTCCGTATTCAAAGTGACGAATACCAATCGGCGCCTTTTATGTAAATTATCATCTGCATTCTTATCTTGCTTCCTAGTTACTTACAGTATATTGCCTTATCTAGAAGTTATTACAAAAAACTGGTAATCCTCTTCGGAAGTGATTCTATTGGTCAAAAACAACAACTTCTTCTATGGGACCTATATCGAAATCTAAAAAAAAATTACTTCTCCACACAAACTCGTCTCATCCGATCGGCGGTTTAGTAAAGAGAAGCCATGTTTTCAGAGATTTCGATGTAGGTCCCAAAGAATAATTTGATGTATTTGAGCAATAAAATCACTCCCTAAAAAGGATTACCCTCTTTTTTGTAACACCTTGTATATTGTTACAGTTTTATATAGTTTAATATTAAGGCGCAAGGAACAATAAAGTTTATATTTTATTATGTAGTGACATGTAAATATACTTTATTTTATAGTTTTTCATTAAAATTTAACAAGAGGTTTGTTAATTCCGAATACGCGTACTGCCCGCCCATGGGCGGGGTCCGCATGACAGGTCAGAATTGTCCTTTTTTAAAATCTTAGATATCCGCAGGCCGTTTTGGTAACGAATCAATCATAATAAAACGAGTTATTAGACAAAATCTTATAATTTTTTCATGTTATTTGGTATACGTATTAAGGTTTGAAATCCACCCGCCCATGGGCGGGCTCGGCATGTGAATAAAAAGATTTACCCGCCCATGGGCGGGCAAGGCGCTGAATGGATTTCGTATACGCCGTATATGGTTAACATGCTGTTACGAGTATATTTATATCTTATTTTAATTATTAACAATCAAAACTTAACTGTAAGTAAAGTTAAAACAAAAACAAAATCAGTCTTCTTTAGAAAACCAGCTCTAAGAAAACAAGGACTTTGTTTTTTTATATTATTATTCTAAGCCAGCGCTTAATTACAACCCACCTGATGGTAAGTGATGATGTAGCCTAAGATGGTGAAGCACACTGACTTAACAAAAGGCTATTCACTCTTGCCTTGAAGACACCCACATTATACTCGGATGGAAACGCAGATGCTTGTAACTGAGATTGGTTTTAGCTTGAACTGGATGATTTAAATAAATTTTCCATAAAGTATATGGAAAGTGGAGGGTAGACAAAACTTGCGAGGGATATGTCCCGTACAGCAACGGAATTTAAAAATTTTATGTTAAAAAATACCAAACAGCCTTACTTTTTGTAATCATAATTTTATGTACTTGTAAATTTATGAAAATCCTCGTCACTTAATATAAGATAATAAAAATATTATTTCACAACCATATAATTTTACTTTCCCGAAAGTAATATCAATATTCGGTGTGAATAAAATTCTTACAAATATTTAAAAACATTTAAACATATTTATGATAGAATATTATTATGTCATAATAAACTTAAGAATGGACTAACATTATATATAATCTCTTAAATTGTAATTTATTATAACTCTTATCTATTTTTTTCCATGGGAGAGGGGGTAAACGAGCATGCGGCTCACCTGATGGTAAGTGACTACCGCCGCCCATGAACAACCGCAACACCAGGAGAATTGCAGATGCGTTGTCAACCTTTTAAAAAGGAGTAGGCTCTTTTCTTGAAGGCCCCTAAGTCGTATCGGTCCGGAAAAATCGGTGATGGTAATCGATTCCACAAGGAAGTCGTGCGAGGAAGAAAACATCTTCTAAATCGCACAGTGGTGGACTGCCAATCATTCAGATGGTGTGGACCATCCACACCATCTGGATTCGGTCGTCGACGATTCGAGCCGCTCTGCGCTGGATGCGGTCAAATGGAAGGAGCTGGCACTGGGGCGCCCCTGCCCAGAGATGGGAACAGTGTTCCATGTGAGGCCGAACCTGCGCCTTGTAAAGTTGCAGGCGATGTGCCGGCATGAAATACTGTCCCGCTCTGCTGAGCACGCCAAGCTTTTTAGAGGCCAATTTGGCCTTCTCTTCCAAGTGACCACGAAACTGCACGTCACTTGATATGTCGACTCCGAGGATTCCGATACTGGCTGAGGCAAGAAGGGGAGTGCCTTGAAACTGAGGAGATACGACAAAGGGGTTCTTTTTAGCGGTAAACTTTTTAGCGACCAAACCAAGGCTGAGATCTGCCTCCGATGGGTACCACAGATGATGGAATAACTAGTTCCATTCCCTGTAGCACCACATCAGTGACAGAGTCAGCAACAGCGCTGGGATCATCCGACGAGAAGCAAACCCACCCCCGTGGGTAGGATGCAAAGAAAAACCGCATTCCGTCCCAATCCGCCGAACTCCGAACTTCCGAACATCGACGGAAACATCTGGAATCCGCGTAGGTGAAGTAACCAGTTGTGTCAGACCATATGCCAAGGCAAAGTCATAAACAGATCTCCCCGCATGATCGGTTAAACGTGAACTAAACCATTCGGCGTGGTGGGCGTTAAAATCGCCAAGGATCACGATCTCTGCGGATGGGACCTGTTGTAGCAAGGAATCTGTAGCCATTTGGACGTAGTCGATGAGTCGGTCTGTTTTGGCATTACCGCTATGGGACCTATAGACGCGCGGATGGTCGTCGCTGTCTACGCGCAGCCAAAGGATGGACAGGTCCGAACCTTCAAGACTGCCGAGGCGTCGAGAACAGATCTCCTCTCTGACATACACGCAAACTCCAGCCCGAGGCACAAAGGAATGCTCCAATTTGTACCCCGGGTAGGAGAGATATGAAGTATCATCTGAAGAGGACACCTGCGTTTCGGTCAAAAAGAGCAAGGCCGGCTTCGCCGTCTCGAGATGGTAGTGGAAGGCGTTTAAGTCCGAGTGAAGTCCCCTGATGTTGCAGAAATTCACGGATAACGTGGCAGGGGTCGCCTTGGTATTGTTGCTCAGTTTGCCCCGAGCAGAATTTTGCCGGCTCGAGCCGGCCCATACGTGCAACAGCAAATACTGCCGCGTGGCTCTACCACCGTTAAATCTAGCATTCTTATTTGTAAAAAATATGTTTTAAGAAATATTATGATGTTACAAACACTTTTGTACGTCGTGAACCATCAGATTCTTAAGATAATTATAGTCATCAGCGAGGCATTCGACAATATCAAAACGATCAAAATCATCTTTTATTTCAAAATTCATTCGTAAGACACATGTTAAGAAGGAATTTGTAGAACTTTCTAGACTATTTTTTTAATGTTGGGCTGTCGTTTTGGGCGGCTAGGATGTACACTCTTACTCTTCTTGCCTGCAAATGCGTATAGCAATCAAATAACAGCGACAGTGGAATTGCACACTCATGTGGGAGTTGTACCACATCATTTACAGATGTGTGGACTAACACTCGATATAAGGAAAGCTCCTTGTAACCGATGCGATCCTGGATTGTCCTCGAAAAAATCGACGTTGCTTAATAGCTTTGCTACCAAGTGCTCGCTGGCTGAGTGAACCGCAAAGTACACGCCTCTGTAAATATATAAATAATTAGAGCATTATAAATAAAGAAAAAAGGAAAACTGATGATCTATGGTCCAGCTCGTTCTCCGCGTAGAACTTCTCTGAATTCGAACTTTTATTAAGAACCAGTTTTTACTTTTTAGACATTCTTAATAAACAAAACAAATGTATAAAGTTGATTAATAAAACACGTCGATATAGCCATTTTTTTACGTTTAAACGTAGCCATACATGTTCAAATTTCAAAACGTGTTTTTTTTATAATCTCGGGCTCAAAGAAGTGTCTTTGTAACGAAGGAAGTCCCTTGACCAAGGTGCCACATAATATGAGTGCTATTACTACAATTCCATACTTTATATTTTAGTTCACATTTTTACGCACGGGACGGCTCCGCAGCCTACGAAAACTGTGTTTTTACTTGAGTTAGGGAAAGGAAAAGGAAAGTTAGGAAGAGGATTCCTGCCAAGTGTGGCTTAATTCTACAATAATTACAATTATTTGTGATTCAGACAGACCTTGATCCCATCTTCTCGGCGTACTCGAACACGAATCTTGCGGCATTTTCAATCTGATGCACTATTTCTGGCAGCGTAAAGGAAGAGCATAGATCGTACCCAACCACAATTATCTTGATCCGAGAGCGGTAAAGCGGCAGCACAGGGTACCGAGATATCGCCCGCGATAGCTCCTGCCAGAAACCTCCGTGGACGTATACTAGGATTGGAGAATCTGTAAAAAATATCATTTTTTATTGATCTTAAATCATTCTTAAACCTATTACCTGTAAAAAATGTCAACTAATATAATAAACTAGAAAACGACATAAGTTGTATTGTATTGGATAAAATTCTTTTGCCAAATGTATCGCCCAAAGTTGAGGTAGAGAAATTTCACCCCTTAATAACATTTGACAATGTTTAGCTTGCTTATCGTGTGATGTTAATGTAAGAGAATCCAGTACCTTATTTATACCGCAAGAGTCATAGGAGGCAGTTGCCTATGCCATTTTTTTTGGTTTTCCTACAACTCTGGGAAAGTCAGAAAAATCTGGTACATCGCGGTGTACCATCCTGTTTACGCCAGACGTACAATACCCAATGAGGATGATGATTATTATTATGATACCAAATTTTATGTTTGGGACGACAATTCGGTACGAATTGTTTAAAGTGAAGTGACCTCTATACTTCATTCTTAGATAACTTAATTTATCTATGTAAGGTTTTCTGGAAGAAACCACTTAAATATGGTACATATAGTGTGGAGGTAATTTAATAAAATAAATTAAAAGAAAACTCAAATCGGCAACGCAGAGTACCGTGAAAGGTGCGAGACATCTTGTATTCGTGATTAAATAATCGTGAAAGCTCGGTCAAAAGTTTCCATAAATTACATAACATAAATGATTATTTAACTGTTGTAAACGTACGCCCGTTAATCGATCTAATCAAAAACAAGTCGCTTGATATCTTTTCAAAATTAAAATTCTGCTGTTCAAAATTCACATCGGTTAAATTACATCAGGTGTGGATATCATCTTGTCAAATGACTGTTGGCGTCGCAGTGGAAAAATATAAACGTATAGGTGGCTCTTGTTTCCGCCAATCGAAAGACTTGAGTTTTGGGTGAGCCAAATTTTAAATCTATTTTGTACGTGGTAGAGCCACACTGCAGCTATATTATAGTTTGTAGCACGAATGGGTCTGCTTAATCAGACAAGAACCATGCTCTCACAGAATACCGTATATCGCAGCTTAACACTGCTGTGTTTCTTATGGTGAGTGTAAAGAACTGGAGACCCTTTCCATTTGAAACGGAGCATTACATCTTAGTCCTCATGTACATCTATCCTCTGTTCTTAATTGAAGATATATGTAGATGTCTATGGGCCGCAGCATCTATTTACTATCAGGTAGACTGTGTGCTCGTTTATCACCCTTATTCTAAAAAAATAATTATATTAATAATCATTAGTAATTTCGTTATGAGCACACAATAGTTTTTTTTTCATCGAGACGATGGTTGATAGATATGCAATATTCTATTATTGTTTATCTATACAAATAAATAAAATAGAAGTGTCTGTTTGTAATTTCAAAATTACAGCTTTTTACTAAATGCATATGAAAGTATATACGGTACTAATAACAAAAATACAATTTTTAAAGTTTTTGTCTGTCTGTCTGTCTGTCCGTCGGTCTGTCTGTTTGTTCCGGCTAATCTCCCAAACGGCTGGATCGATTTTGGCAGGATTTTTACTGGCAGATAGCTGGTGTCACAAGAAGTAACTTAGGCTACTTTTATTTTTGAAAAAGAATTAGGGTTCCGCGCAAAAATATTAACACCCCAAATAACACGCGGGAGAAGTCGCGGAGAACAGCTAGTAATATAATATATGTAATACAAAAATAAATATGATCTGAAATTATATCCCAAGCTATATTTCCAAAGATATATCCAAAATTATTTTCGGATTTTGCAATCAAATGCCTATTTAGTAAACCCGTTTTTATCTGAACCAAAACCATTATGAATTAATTAAATCAAATATTGATATCACACAACGGGTTCGTGCTGTTTTTTTGTTAAAGTATAAGCGTGACAAACGAGCACACAGTCCACCCGATGGTATGTGGCTGCTGCGGCCCATAGACATCTACATCTATCCTCTGTTACAAATCAAAATGCAGTAGATGCGTTGTCACCCGTGAGGACTAAGATGGAATGCCTCATTTCCAGTAAAAAGGGCCTCCGGCCACCTGCACTCACCAAGCGAAACGCAGAGGTAAACCTCTACTTCACGCTGGTTTTCTGTGAGGTCGTGGTACTACCCCGGTTCGAGCCGGCCCATCCGTGCGACAGCAAAAGCTGCCGCGTGGCTCTACCACTATTATAATGCAAAATATTTTTTCTAATAAGAAAAAATATTTTGCTTTATACAATACAAATACCTACACATTCAAAACATTGCTTATACTAGTATGTTATGGCATACAAATTAATACAGAGTGTACGCATTAACGTTCCTTTATTTTACTTATGCTGTACACAGAGAAGTGTTATAGTGCGCCAGGAGATACCTACCTATAAAGGTTAACTATTGTAGTCTTCACACTATGCAAGTCTGTATTGCCTGTAACCCAGTTGACGACATTGGTCACAATGAACAATTTTTGTAAATGCTACCAGTAACTACTGTGACTATGTTAATAATTTTGTATTGTGTTAATATATTATATCTTGTGTTAATAAATATACATAAAAATACATACATATATATATCATTCTTTTGTCCGTGTGTATGTGACTGAACTCCTAAAGGGTTGAACCGATTTTGATGTTTTTTTCAAATTGATTTGAGAACGGTTTGGATTCACAATTGGACTCGGTATCTGGTGCTGTGGGTGATCGAGATCCAGAAATCACCCGTGCGAAGTCGGGGCGGATCGCTAGTATTATCATAAAATATTTATTCCACCAATAAATATTAATTAAAATATTTATAAGATATTTTACGTACACATACAATAATATTATACATATAATAATAAGTCTCTGTTATACATATAATAACAAACTTTTTATTACCATTTTATGGAAGTAAGCTGTAAACAATCTGCAAAATAGAATACGAAATTAGGATTTATACTTCATTTGAATACTTATTCGGTAGCAGTACGGTACAGGTCGTCATCGTACGAGTAACATAGGATAGGAACTATGGGTGAAAACGGTCATCATAAATCAGTTTTAAATCTCATATGCCAATTTCGTATCGAGAGAAATTAATTGCCATGTGTTCACTTTATTGAACCGGTTTTACTGGATTCATTAAAGGAAACGAGTTTCAACATGACAAATGTCACCTTGACGCTAATATTATCACTATTTTAGGAACGGGTCAATTACGTAGAAGAGGTTATTGAAAATTGGAGACAAAAGTATTATGGATACTTTGGAAGAAAACAAAAACATGGCACGGCATAAGGTTTAGAATGAATAATTGTACATTTTCACCGTTACTTTATTACTAGTACTTATTACCAATACTTATGTATTAAAATTATGCAAATACCTTAAGGTGCCCAATGTTTTAAGGCACTGCTTGTCTAATATCTTATAATGTAGTGGCGGTCTAAGAATATCCACTAACCCATTTCGTCTGGCGGGCAACAAAGGGAAACATCTTCGGCAGCAGCATCTTCCTGATAAAAACTCAAAATAATAAAAAACCTGCGGTTGCCAACCCGCCTGCCAAGCGTGGCAACTATAGAAAAATCCAAAATTTTGAAGAAAAACTTTGAGTCAAATTTTAAATTTCTGCTTTACCTAGAAATGATCTAGGTTTTTAGTGAGTGAGTGAGTGAGTCGGTCAGTGAATTATAAAAAAGGCACTCTTCAGACCTTAGTAATCCAAGAACTACAAAAGGTTTATTCATGAAATTTGGGATTCTAAGTATTCAAGGGAACCTTTACTTAGCTCTGGTATCTCCGGCTATAACGACATGAATAAATAGAAATATTACTATTTAAAAAAGATTTTAAAGTGCACAACTGTCGTACTGATGCAAAATTCATAAAAGTAACCCCAATTTTTTGCTAATTATGTCAACCTATATAAATCTCCCGTTTTCAAGTTTTGAGGTATACCTGACGAGAAGGTGTGTTGTCATTACTCGAACGCTGCCCAGACGAGCTGGATCCGTTGGTTGACCTCTCGTTTGAAGTTGGACTTACCTAGTCGGACTATTTGTCCCAGGTAAACATACTCGTCAACAACTTCGAGCTAAGTGCTCCCAACAACTACCGGCATAGGTGTGACATGGACATTACACATGATATTCGTTTTGTCCATGTTCATCTTAAGACCTATCCGTTGGGAGGCACTATTATTTATTAGGTCATTGAGCATAGTGCTTTGGTCTTCTAGCGATACTGCCATATTGACTATATCGCCGGCAAATCGAAAGTGAGTGATGTACTCGTCATGTATTGCTAGTGATGACTTATGGATCTGAGACGTGGCCCTGCACTGCTGGCCATATGAGGAAGCTCAAGGTCACTCAGCGAGCTACGGAGAGGGCTATGCTCGGGGTTTCTCCGCGTGATAATCTTAGAAATGAGGATATCCGCAGTAGAACCAGAGTGACCGACATAGCCCAACGGATTAATAAGCTGAAGTGGCAATGGGCCGGCCATATAGCTCGAGGAACCGACAACTGATGGGAAAGAAAGGTTCTCAATTGGCAGCTTCGTACCGGTAGGCAAGGTATAGAGCAACCCCCCACTAGATGGAGTGACGATCTGGTAAGACATGCAGGAGGTCGATGGATGCAGATGGCTCAGGACCGTGCTTTATGGCCTTGTGAATGGCTGTAATATTGATCCGTTAGTCTCGCTAAAACTCGAAACTGGCTCGAACGATTCTGATGAAGTTTTTTTTGTGTTTGAGTGGATGGTTTAGATTCACATTTAAAATCGTAAGAATCATCCCCGGAAAAACGTTTTAGAAGCAGATAAATTTTGCAATGGAACACGATATTTCAATTTAGCTCATAAAAATGTGGGGGGGAATTTTGAATTAGAACAATTTTACTTGTAATTACTTAATCGTGTTAAATAAATTGTAAGTGGCCAGTGTCTGTGTCAGCGTCATAAAATAAATCTGTAGAAAAGTCGTGTCTGTAATTTTAATATATTGTTACGAGCTTGGATTTCGAGACAATTAAAAACTGCCGAGTTAAT